ATAGGAAGCACGGCAGATGAACACTCACATCTCCTCTTCCTCCCACCACAAGTTCGGTATCCTGTAGGCGCTCAAGTGCAAGCGGTCGAGGCTGTACCGGAGCGGTGGGACGGCAGAGAAGCAAACTCGATCAGCGGTCTTCTACCATGCATTCACATCCCACATATTGAGGCAGCGCAATGCTCCTGGCTCACTCGTACGCATCCACAGTACCATCCCTAAGACCGATCCACAGGTGAGCGTGACCTGGCTGTGTTTCGATGCAGGTGACCGAGTTGCGAGCGCTGTGCGCGTGGATACGCATAGGAGTATCGGGATGTAGAGCATCGCCGGGTGTCGTCGGGCCTATACCAGCTGCGATTCTCGTGGTACTGGAGCTATCTGCAGCGCTGCTGGGTCCGCCAGCATTGGGAGCCAAGCTTGGGTCGGCTCGGGAGATGTCAAAGACGCTCAGGTTGTCCTTCTGGTCGGCGACTATGAGCAGCCCGGTGCCGCTTCTGAAAGCCAAGTGTCGAATGCCGACGGCAGGTCTAAGTGCCCAGCTGACTCTTATGGTGCCTCCGAGCAAGTGCAAGCATCCATTGGTCGTGCCGAGAGCGAGGTAGCCTTGGACGGGGTCGTAAGCGAAGGCGGACACATCACCTGTCAATGAAAGTTGAGAGATGAGCGCGTCCGAGAATGGTGTGGGGTGAGGATCCTTCAGATGACCCGACCAGTCCGCCTCCTCGAGCTCTGGAGGCACGCGCGTCGGAAGGCGGAACCATGATGGAGGCATCGTCCGTCTGAGAGGGTGCAAGATGCCGAGGTTCTTAGGAGGTCCGCGAATGAATGGTGAGGTGGTGAAAACGAGCCTCGTTTAAGATTCCTTGTTGTGAGCGAGGGAGGGACCAAGCAGATTGTAGAGAGTCGATGGGACGTGGAGATGTCGCTGTGGCGCTCGAAGGTGGAGCTAGAGGTGAGCGAACGGGAGCAGACAAGGGGCGATGTCAAAGTGTCGGCGTAAAGAGCTTCTTGGCATGCTGCTGCATTCGTCAAATCATGATTTGACTTTGACTCTTGACTCTCACGCCATCCATCGGTTACCGACCGAATGCAGTAAGCAGCGCGCGCGGGGTGGAAGTTCTGACGCACGTGCTGCGCCGCCAAATCTATAATCTGCGCCCCACACCAAAAAGCGTGCGTTGGCGGCAGCACGGACCATGCGATGCGTACCTGCGCACAGCATCACAGCATTCAAGCAACCAGCGCGCCTCTTCTCCACCTCCAACGTCTCCATCCATCCATCGCTTCCGGCCACGAGCTCCATCATCCTCATCTTTGATCTCAATCAGAGCTTCAGCCCTGCCGTCCGGCTTGCACACGAATCTCTCCCATCCGATCGAGAACTCCAAAACGTCATGTCGGGCGCGTCATCTTCCCTCCTGGACCCGGCTGCTCTATTGGAGCTACTTCCCACCCTGCTGCCCAGTAACCCATCATCTTCGTCCCATGATGAGGCCGGCGGGAGTAGCGCAGCTCCATCTCGCGAGCAAGCGTCCCTTTCTCAGCTACATAACCCTATCGAGGCCCTCGTAGCCCTTCTTCACTCCATCTTCACGCGCTTGGACTTTCGCTTCCTCGGACTTCACACTCCGCAGTCTCCGCCTCCATCCTCCAATGTGCTGCCGCCAACATGGGCCGGTTCGAGCAGCTCTGGCTCTTTCGCATTGTCATACGCCCACCCTCAGTCATCGCTCAGGTTCCTGGTCAGAGCAAGCACACTAGGGCCCAGGATCATC